GGGTGAAATAGGTAACTGGGATAAAGAGGTATAAACTTAAAATTATAAAATAAATTAGTCCTGGGGATGAATGCACAGTATAGGGAATACAGTCAATAATATTGTAATATCTTTGTATGTTGACAGATGGTAACTATACTTAAAGTGGTGAGCATTTAGTAATGTACATAACTGTCAAATCACTATGTTGTATATACCTGAAACCAATATAATACCATAGATCAGCTATATTTCAATTTAAAAATTTTAAATCACTTTTTCATTAGCATCAAAAAACAATAAATGACATGCCAAAATTGATAACACACTTATTGTATTATGCCAGTAAGACAAACTTGCTCAAAGATGGACATTTGCCCTTAGAATATATTTTGCAACTAAGGGGAAATGTGTTCTTTTTCCTGTATTTCTAAAATAAAGAGGCTGATTTTTTGCTGTAGAAAAGTGCTTATGTACAACTTAAAAGATAGTCACATTTAAGACTAACATAACAATACCTTGTTTTTGCATATTTGCATATCCGCTTTCTCAGAAAGCTTCCAAGTAATTTCTTGAAAACTAATTGTCCACAATAAAAAGCCACTTGCTGTTACATACTATTGAAATGTTTTACATGTTCTACTTCTATTTTTTATTTTTTTAAGTATCTTTTTTATTGAAGTATAGTTGATACATAATATTATATTGGTTTCAAGTATACAATGATTCAACAGTTACACATAAGTCATCCTCACACCAACTAGAGTGGTTACTATCTGTCAACACAGAAAGATGTTACTGAATCATGGGCTATATTCTCCATGCTGCACTTCCATCCCTATGATTAACTTGTGTTATGATTGACACTTTGTGGCCCTTATCCCCCTCACCTACCCTACCTGCCCACCTCAACCCCTCCCCTGTGGTAACCATCAGTCAGTTCCCAATGTCTATGAGTCTACTGCTCTTTGGTCATTTTGTTTTTGTTTTTAGATTCCACACATAAATTATATGGCATTTGTCTTTCTCCACTCAGCTTATTTCACTTAGCATGATACCCTCTAGGTCTATGCAAGTTGTCACAAATGGCAGTATTTCTTTCTTTTTTGTGGCTGAATAATGTTCCATTGCATAAATGTACATTTGATTTATATACTCATCTATAGATACTTTGGTTGCTTCTATATCTTGGCTATTGTAAATGATGCATCAATAAACATAGTGGTGCATGTATGTTCTCAAATCAGAGATTTTATTTTCTTCAGGTAAATTCCTAGAAGTGACAATACTAGGTTATATTCTATTTCTATTCTTAGTTTTTTGAGGAACCTCCATAATGGCTGCACCAATTTACATTCCCACCAACAGACTAGGAGGGCTCCCTTTTCTCCACATCCTTGCCAGCACTTGTTATTTCTTATCTTTTGGATAGTGGCAAACCTGACTGGTATGAGGTGGTATCTCATTGTGGTTTTGATTTGCACTTCCCTGATGATTAGCGATGTGGAGCATCTTTTCATGTGCCTGTTGGCTATCTGTATTTCTTCTCTGGAGAAATGTATGTTCAGGTCTTCTGCCCAGTTTTTAATCAGGTTGTTTTTTTGGTGTTGAGGTGTATGAGTTCTTTATATATTTTGAATGTTAACCTCTTATGAGATAAGTTGTTTATGAATATATTCTCTTAAATTGTAGGTTGCTTTTTTGTTTTGTTGATGGTGTCTGTTGTTGTATAGAAGCTTTTTAGTTTGATACACTCCCACTTGTTCATTTTTGCTTTTGTTTCCCTTGCCCGGGAAAACATATCCTGAAAAAGACTGCTCATGCTTTATTCAAGGGATTTTGGGCCTATGTTTTTTCCTAAGAGTTTGTGATTTCACGTCTTTTATTTAGGTCTTTAATTCATTTTGAGTTCACTTTTGTGTATGAACTTGGATGGTAAACCAGGACAGTTTCATTCTCTTGCACATAGCTGTCCAGTTTTCCCAACACCACTGAAAAGACTGTCTTTTTCCTATTGTATATTTATGGCTCCTTTAACATATTTAATTGACCATATATGTGTGGGTTTATTTCTGGGCTCTCTATTCTGTTCCACTGATCTATGCATCTGTTCTTGTGCCAGGGCCATACTGTTTTGATTACTGTAGCTTTGTATTATAGCTTGAAGTCAGGGAGTGTAATACCCCCAGCTTTGTTCTTCTTTCTCAGGATTGCTTTGGTTATTCAAGGTCTTTGTGTTTCCATATGAATTTTAGAATTACTGGCTCTAGTTTGCTGAAAAATGCCATTGGTATTTTGATAGGGATTGCATTCAATCTGTAAATTGCTTTGGGTTAGGATGGCCATTTTGACAATAATAATTCTTCCTATCCATAAGCATGGGATATATTTCTGTTATTCGTGTCTTCTTTAATTTATTTTATCAGTGTCTTACAGTTTTTTCAGAGCACAGGTCTTTCATCTCCTTGGTTATGTTTATTCCTAGGAATTTTATTCTTTTTGATGCAACTGTAAATTTTCCTGACTTCTCTTTCTTCTCCTTCTGCTGAACCAAGTGAGATTTATTCCAGGGATGCAAGGATGATACATTATTTGTAAATCAATCAGTTAGTCATCATAAACTAAATTCTGTCACAAGTAACCCTAAAATATCACTAAGACAAAAGTTTATCTTCCTTACATCAGTCATCCAGTAGTTCTACCATCTTCTAGGGTCTCAGAAACCTCCTACCTGTTTTTACTAGGTACTGACAGAAGAGAGCAAAAATGAAAGACTGGTGAGAAGTTAGATACCAGGCCTTGAAGTGATATTTATCACTAGAACCTATATTTTACTGACCAGAGCTCAGATACATAACATACCTAATTATGAGGATGCTAGAAGTGGTATGGTGATAGGCCCGGAAGGAACAGGAGAAAAACAAATAGAAGTCCTAGCCTTACTGTGCATCTGTAATACACCAGTGGAATTTGAGACAGCACCCAAAAATCAACCTCACTATATATGCAGTGAAACATCCACACTAAGTGGGACAAATACAGATGATACTAAGAAAGATAACAAAAAGCCTCACATTAATGTAGGGTAGGTGTTTCCATCAAGTAAGTTTTGGTGTCAAACTTTTTTTGACAAAACTTTAGGTTCAGAGGATTTCAGAATTGCAGATAAGGGATTATGCATGTGCATTGTTAGCATATTATACAAATGAAGAAACCTCTAAAAACAGCACCAAGAAAGTAGAAATGGGACTTAAACTCAGGCCTGTGACTCACATGTTTATGCCCATGATGCAGGGAAAACTGCAAATGACAAATGTCTCTTATTATTTTAGACATTGGTGATGCTATCAGCCCTTAGACACGAAGAAACCAAGGGGAGATATTTCAGTAAATTCCTATGTTTATTGTGTCCTGTTCTGTACAAGCACTCACTGTACTAGCAGGCAGAGGGAGTACAAAGAATAAGATAGTACCTGACCACAGAAAGCCAGGATGTGGTGGAAAGAAAATTTGGGATATATCCGGAGTGAAAAGCAGACTCTGATAAATGCTCCAGAAGTAAGAAATTCTAAAATGACTGATTCTGAAGTGCAGAATTAAGAAAGGCTCACATAAAAGGTGATGCCATCAGAGACAGACCTAAAAGGAAACTCAGAATTTTTAACAAGAAAGAAGTGCTTTGGGCAGACAGGGAATGCTGCACAAAGACACAGAGGTGGGAGCTATTTAAAGGCCTGAATAATGGTGAATGATTTTTGTTTGTTTGGCAACATCTGAATGCTGGAGCATCCAAATTTTTAATTTTACTTAGTTATCATCAAGAGGCCTGGGAAACTTAAGATCAGTAAGTAAAAGAAGATAATGAGAGATTCAAGGTTGGAGTGCCATTTCCGTAGGTAATGATGCAATTAAATGAGAAAGAGATTATGAGAAGAATTTACCTGGGTCCGAGAACAGGAAGGGGAAAATGTTTCTTATTATTTTAAGTTTTAAACAAGTTGAGAGTGAGGCATTTGAAGCATTAATAAAGAGTTATCTGTACATTATCTGAGTACTTGGACTTACAAAATCTACTCTGGTTGCTAAGAGGCTTTTTATGTTTACTTCTTACATTTGATAATGCTAACCTCCAGTTGAGAGGTTTTTGTACCATAATATTTAGTAACCACTGGCTCTATTCATTCAGGAGAAAAAATAAATCTTAATAACAAAGTAAAACAAGTGAGGAACATGTACTGACTTGTATTTCTACCATTTATGTAGCAATTTCCTTGTATGTCAACACCATTGTCCACAGCCCTGCAATTTTTAAAGAGTGCTGGCCAATGGGACGAAACACTAGCACAATACAACTCAACTTCCCTGTATGCTAGTTAATAAGGAAAAGGAGTGATGAAAAGATGAAATTCCTTTAAAGAATATATTAATGTGCTTCAATGTGTGTAATTTTTTAATGTATTTTTAAAAATCTTTGTAAACTCAGAATAAAAGTATTACTTTCATGTGTAACCCTTTTCTTATTAAGTTAGTTTTATAGTAAAAAAGTTTAGCTTCTTTTCTAAGAGGTTATTTTAATTCTTTACTAGAAATTAATTTCCTGAATGGTATATTCCTGAGTTATTTTTAATACTTCAAAATAAAGATGCCCAGAAACTACCCTATTAACATATATACATGACACATTAAGAAAAAAAAAAAAGACATCGATCTCTAATATATTTGATTTTAAGTCATGATAATCAAAGCTGGCAAAATAGCATATTCCTCCAAGTAGAGTCAATCCAGTGAAGAAATTCACTAACGTATACATGGATATGAGGAATAAAATACTGGTATTAACTGGGTTCTTTAAGTAAGCAAGTAGATTTTAGAAAGACTTCATTTGAATTTCTTGATCTCTGCCAAAGATATCTGTTTACACCAGTTGTTTGGAAAACACCTGACAGCACATTTCCAGAGAGCAAATGGCAGGTCAGGTTCACAACATGTGACTTCCTCATTGATTATATTTAAACAGCACCCAGGAAGAAGCTATATTGCCCATAGGACACTGGAGGAAGCCTGAATTCTTTTCTATTCAAAGAAAAAACATCAAAAGGTAATATTAATTTGAAACCTTCTCAAGTTATATATTATACATTAGAGCCCAAATGTAACTTTTAGTATATATTAGATTTCTATAAACTTAAAGTTTGAGCTTCAAGTTTAAAAAAAAAGAATATTTAACCATGCCCAACATGGGCTAGTTGCTTTATCTCAAACGTGACAAGCCATTAGATTTGAATATAGCATAAAAGAAAATAAGCCTTTCTTTAAAAATGGTTTACTATTAAACTTTTGATTTATATCCATACTATGTTTTCATAGTCTACATCTACTAAAAAACACTGGACTAAGACTCAAGTTCAAGTTCTGGTCATTTTTAGATATGGATCCTCAGGCAAGTGATAGCCTTTGTCTGAGCCCATTTGTAAAATGAAGGGGTTGATTTAGATCACTTCTAAATTTCCTTTTATCTTAAAAACCGTAAGATTTGTTAAATCAAAGGTAGGCATTTTCCCAGTGCTGGAATGAGGTTTCCTTCATTTTTCCCCTTTAAAAAGCTAGTTCTTAGATTCGTTTGTGAGCCCAGTGTTAAATTTATGTAATTATTTTGAAACAGGAAAATGATGTTCAAGTTATCACTCATTAGCCTGTTTCTCCTGTTTGTTGTTAAAACTTATGGGACAACTATACCACCGATCACCTCAAGTTCTATGGCAGTCTCAAGCCCCAGGACAAGTCTGGATTCTAACACAACCCTGAATTCCAAGACAACCCTATATTCCAACACAACCCCAAACTCCAAAATGACCCCAAATTCCAAGACAACCTCAAATTTCAAGACTACTGCAAATCTCCAAATAACCTCAAATGGCAAGATTACTTCAAATCCCAAGATAACTACAAAAACAGTAATGACCCCACAGGTACTCACAACCATGAATATGACAACTAAGAAAAGTGGTGGCACCAAACTGAATCCAATGGACAATACTGACTTTCTTTTGTACATAATATTTTTGCTATACTGTGTGCACTCGGGCTGAAGTGGAGTTAACTGTCTATATTTCTGTCTTAAGTTCATTACTATCTGTTGACTACAACAACACACTAGGAAAATCAATTTATTTCCATTTACTTCTTAGGAAATTATTATTATCCTAGCTTAATTTGGTTGTTTGCAAATTTTAATTGTGTAAGTTTAATTAATATTTTAATGATTGTTTCCTTCCTTACAAATGCTAAAACAAGCAAAGTACTGCATATTTGCCCTTTAAATGTTTGCAAACTTGAATTGAAACTCAGATTGTTACATTAAAGATATAAGAGAAGAAATTATGTTGGAGACATTTAACCGAAGTATTGCCTCTGTGTGTGTATGTGAGAGAGAGGGACAGAGAGTAGGGAATGGGGTATAAGGAGTGATATGTGTTGTTCTTATTTTATTTTTTATTAAATAGACAAAAAAGTGCTAATCTGGTAAGGAGAAACTACAGTGCTCTATAGGACAATACACCTATTTGTGTCACCGTATTTCATGAATGTGCAATAGTAATATGTTGTCATAGTAAAAAAGGTGCCAATTCTGCTATCCTTGGAAATACATGATACAGCTGCTCCAATGTAGATTATTTTTCTTTGAGTCTCATAATTCAAAAGGTCATTTGTAAATCAGATGCCTAGAATTCAGAATTCTTCCCAAAAGATACGTATCTCATAACTATTGGTGAGATTTTCATGGTCTACAAAGGTTTATTTAACCCCCCAAAATAGTACATAATTTTAGCAGTGATAATAACCATGTTATTAATAGTGCAGTTGTTAAGGTTTAAAACTCAACTCTGATTCTCACAAGCTATGCTAACACAAGCTAAATACATGACTGAGTGGGATTCCCAAACAAACTCTGGTAATGAACTAACTACAAATGAATCACTTGAGGTGCCAGTTAAATATATAGATTAGGTTCTACCTGTGAGATTTTGATTTGGTAGCTCAAGGATACAGCCTGGGAATATGTTTGTTTGAATTCTCCATGACATTCTCATAGCGAGGTTTGGGAATGACTAACAACTTCTCTTAAGTTTCAGTTTATACATATGTCAATCACTATTAATAAATGTCATAAATAGCTCAGAAGATTATTGTAAGGGTTTTAAAAAAATTATATAACATCCACAATTTGCCTGATACAGAAAAAGCTGTCAGTAAATGTTAGCTGCTATCAGTATTATCACTACTACCCAAAAATCAACTGCCAAGTTTCACAATATTCCTAAGAGGAAAACTCTTCATTGTTTAATTTCCAGGTTTTATGTTTTTAATTATTCTTACAAAAATAGCATGTACTCCTGGCAACAATCAAACAAACAATGAAACAAAAATATTATAATTGGTCCTCTACCTCCTCCATTCACACTCCCCTGAAATAAGCAATGTGAACAGTTTAATGTGCATACTTTCACACGTAACATGTGAGCACACACACACACACACACACACACCTATATTACTCTGAAGCTTGTATGATAAGTGACAGAGGTATCCTCTGGGTCTTGTTAAAGCTGCATGGAGGACTTCCATTACTTTTGTCTGCTCAGAATCCATTTTCCCTTGTTCTGGTTCTACAAGCCAATTTTCCTTTGGGAGAATATGCCCTGTGCTCCCCCTTGCAGTTCACGCAATTCAAGTAGGGCTGGCGTCACTACTAAGCTCCTGTGATAGGCATGATTCAAGCACAGACAACCAAGAAATTCCATCCTCCCTGCTACAGTGATTACCTTAGGACCCAAGCACGTGACCCAAGCCAGGCCAATAAGACCAGTAATTTTGCTATAAGTACTTGGAAAAAGGTGTTTTCCCACTTGGGTTGTTAAGCTGGGAAAAGACAAATATTGCTGGTAATAGCTTAGGAAGAGCTTCCCAGAAATAAAATCAACATAAAGAAAGTAGAGCTAAAAGACAGAGAGGACAGATGTTCTCCAGATTACACTGTTCAAAGCTCTGTACTTGGTGACTGATAATGGGGAGGATAAAAAAAGAGAGAAGAATTTTAAACGATTAGAGTTTCAAGAATGGGAAGGGATAGTGAAGCTATTGAGAAAGAGAATATATGTGACGAAGTTGATTTGAATATGCTGTGAATTAAGTTTCGGACACTTCAAGCCTGAAATGTCTGTGGACTAACTGTTTGAAGACTGGAATTCACAGAGCAGAAGACATTAATATATGGTAGTCTAAGCCACAGAATCAGGAATATCAAGAGAAGTCAAACCTAAGTGCTCTTTGACAAAGCTGGTTGTAGAGATAAGGCCTTCAGTATCTTCTGGACTTGTACAGTAGAGGAACTGGGCCTCTCTCTGCTGAGCTACGTGTGTTCCTTGTCCTGGAGCTAAGGCTTTACATCAGGTGAAAATGAAGGCTAAGAGGAGCTCCCACAAGGGCTAAGTAAGAAACTGAAAGGATTGAAAATCTGAAATTGGTAGTTATATCCAAAAACAAACAAGAAAAAGAAAACCTCAGACATAGTCTGTATAGAACTTCAAAGGTCACAAAATACTTTATGGGAGAGGGAGACAGAATAGTTTTTATAAGTGCCTCTTTCCTTTTTTTTTAAACATACAAAGAAACAGATTTAGAAAAATTAACTTGTCTAAGATTAGCAGCTAATAAAACAGCAGAGCTGGGAACACTTAGCACTCTCAAGTCACTATATTATATAGATTTCCCGGAAATCCCACTGATTTAATCCCACAGAAGGTGTCTAATCCATCCTACTTTCCTTTGGCCTTTTCTAGGCAACCACAGAAAATGAACACAATCTTACAGTATTCTGATCCTAAAGAAAAAACACAGCTTTGAGGCTTCCCAGAAATCTTTGCTACTTGTAAACTAAGAAGAATTTAAAGGGAAAGAAGGATACACATATATTTAACTCTTTCACCAATGTTTCACTTTTAGTTACCGAGACAAAATAAGGAGAGTCAAATACACTGGTTCTATTAAAGGTTGGTGCTGGGATACAAATACGGTCCATCCCAATTACAAAAGAAAATTAATATTATTTTAGGCAATTTAGAAATAGTAACTCAGATAAAAGTTGGAGAGAAGACTTACATGAGAAGGTGAGGAGACTGTTTAACTCTGAGTTGTTAAAGAGAAAGAGTTAAGGATAAATGCAAATGTTTATACTCTTTTGATTCCCCAACGTCCCAGTTCTTGGGACTTGCTGGTCTTACTGCTATCTATCTGATTAAATGAGTTTCCCACATTCACCTTCCTTTCCTCACTCTTCTCTATTTTCAATTTCCATTTGTTTCCTATATAATGCCAAACTTTTGCCACCCTTGACCATTAAGTCTGCTGACAAAATTCCTTGATTTAAATTGAAGAAACTCAGAAAGATTAATTCCTACAGCTAGTGAACAGCAGAACTAAGATGAAACATAGTCCTTGGGATCCAAAGCCAGTGGTCTCTCTATTCTATCACATTGTCTCTAAGAATCAATTACTATGAGTTTCTGTCATGCTAAAAGGCAAGAAGTAAAACTGACCAAATAATGTCACAGATGAGTTCTCAAAAGGAAGGCATAATGAGGCAAGAAAGAAAAGACGATGCAGAGAAAACAATGCAAGCAGCCTACCTATTTGGTAAGGAGGAGCTCACAGCATTACCAGGAACTAGTCCTGAGTGAAAACAGCATGAACAAACATGACCAATTTTCTCTGCTGTCACCTGCACCATCTTTACAGAGATTTCCCACAGCTTCTCTGAATTCTTATGTTAATGCACCCCGATGCTGTTACACATGGCATATTACTAAAAGTTACTAAAAGAAATAGACTCTTCAAGTTTTATTTCTGTTTTAAAAAAAGAAATCCCTGATTGTTATGCTGTGGATATTATTAAATCAAAATACACCTGAAAACAAAAGATTCTTTGTGATTTTTACTCTTGGTAATTAATCCCTCATAGGTGGTATTAAAAAAATGGATGTAGGAAAGAGAAGCCAGTATGAAAAAGGTAGTCTGAAAAGCAGTTTCCTATATACTGAACATCATTTTGGGAGAAGATGGCTGTTTACCCAGCTGTATTCTCCCAAATAAACCTATCTTCAGTTCCAGTAAAGCCAAATGGGAAAAACCAACTGGCTGTGTCTACGTTTGCTATCATTTAAAAAACTCTTTCAGGAGAAACTGAGGAACAGTATTTCTTACCTCCGTGCAACATAATAAAATATAGGATTCCCAGCTTTGGAAGTCCCAGCTTGGTAGAAAATACTTAATGTTTTCAAAGCCTTGAACTCTTCTTTTTCATGTACTTGATGCCTGAAAGAAGAACAGAGTTACTTTACATTGTCCATTAAGTATTTACAAAAATCTAAGACAAGATGGATGATAAAATAAACAAAATGACAGAATATCGAAAAAGCAACACACTTTCTGAAGGGTAATTTGGCAACATGCACCAAAATTGCAAAGCATTATACTCTTTGAAACAGAGTGGTTTTTAGGACTATCCTAAGAGAACTACTGAATAGGAACTATTAACCACAGGATTGTTTTTAATTGTGGTATTTTTTAAGACAGTTTTTCATTATTTATTTATTTATTTTTAACAGTTCAGTTTATCAACCTTTTCTTTCCCAGTTTATTGATTATGAATTAGTGAGAAGGGCTTTCCTTTGCCCATGTTTTCTTCTTCATTGGCATACATACTCAAGAATGATAAGAGCACCTTTTTCCAGATGGTTACTCAACTGTACTAACACCATTTATTATAAGTTCATTTTAACCTCCCTGATTCTGAATACCACTCTTATCATTTATTAAATCACTGTATGTATTTTAAAATACTTTCAAAAAAGCATGATTTAATTTTTATATATTCTGCTCACCACTTGAGTGTGTGTCCTTAACCTCTAGATTTATGTCATTCGCTAGCCCTGGAAAACCCATCTGTTGTCTCTTCAAATATTACCTATTCAACTCTTCTCTTAAGTTCTACTTCTGAAATATCTACTAGACATGTTGGTTCTTTTCATTCTATCATCTGAATCTCTTAACCTCTTTCTTATTTTCCATGTCTTTATCTCTCTGTACTCACTGTATGCTAAGTAATTTGCTCAGAAATTATCTTTAGCTATGTATTAAAAAAAATTTTTTAATATATTGTCTTTTACCTAGTATTTCTATTTGCTTGTATCTTGGGAGAAGGGGGTAGAGAAGAAGTTGTGTTATCTCAGTTCATCATGTTGCTGCTACCAGGTAAGCATTTGTTTAATATTAATTAAAACAGCCTTGGTATCATTTGATAAGGGAAATGGGTATAGATATGTATAGATAAGTGCCTGGGAGGTTATCTGCCAAATGTTAACTAAATTATCTCTAAGAGGTAGAATAAATGAGAATTTAAATTTTCTTCTTTAGATTTCTATGTTCAGAATAATTTAACAGTTTTATTTTTATAGTTGAGAAAATTATAAAGCTACCTGCATTTTTAAAAAAGAAAACTGAGACTCAGAATCAGTGGGAACTTAGAAGAGAATGAAAATAACACCTAACATTTATTAAACACTTAAGATACTGTTCTAAGTATCTTACACATATCAGGCCAGTTAGTCTTAAAAAAAGCACAGAAGATTGTTTTGTAAGGGAATGTAGGATTTTAGGGAAAAGGAGTGATGAAGAGGTCTTCTTAGAAAAACGGAAATATGCTAGGATGTCCTCAGTAATATTAAATAAAAAATAGCTTAATATTTTCGTATTACCTAATTTTCAATTAGGTAATATGAAAATTTCATATGGAAAATACCCTTTAATTACATGGAAATAAACATTTCTTATACCAAGAAAAGTATAATAGAGCTAAAGATAAAAGTTAAACTGGAAAGGAGATTGTTAAATATTCATACATTCTTTTAACAATATCAAAGAATTGGAGTCACGTGTATAAAACTAAGAACTACATGTAATGTGATTAATAACATGCATTTACAATGCAAGTTATATGCAAATATTTATTGTAAATTAATTTCTGAATGTCAGATTTTTTTTCTTTCTACGTCTGGCACTTACTGTGAATAAAACACTTAACCCACAGTAATTATGAAGCTTTTATTAAGTGACTAAGTAGAAAATACTTTGGAAGATACTTTAAAGACTAAAGGATTCAGCAACCCTAACTTTACTGTTACCTCACAGGTGTAAATATCTAACAATGAGGATCTTTTAGCTCAGAAGCTCTGAGATTCAAAACAAATGTCCATAGAAATTTTAGCAATATGTAAGTTATTATATTTTCTGAGTCTCAATCTAAAAGAAGTTAATACCATTAATTTTTGGAGGGGCTCTGAAAAATGGTACAGTGTGGAAGAAAGAGTTAGCACTAAGAACCAAAGAACCTATGAATTAGGTGTGAAATCTTGGGTAAGTTAGTTATTCACTTTGAGCTGTACTTTCCTTAACTGTAATATGAATATAATGTAGTCCTTAAAACACCTCAAAGCAGCAAAGTACTATTCAATAAAACACTCTTATTTTCATAAGAAAATTACCTACAAACCATATTTCAACAATAGAGAGGCTAAGAAAACAGTGGTGTCTCCAAACACCATAATGTGCTTAGGTACATCTTTCCTGATAATCCTCAATTGAAAATACAAGCACATCTAACAAGTGGCCTGTGGTAAGCTCTGCACCTCAAGCCAAAAGAAAGCAATCATCATTTCAAGGTTGTACTTTACCTAGTCATAAATTCTTCAAACTTTGAACTGGTAAGGTTAAGGCTGGACCAGTGCGTATCTGCCACAGGTTTGTGCTCTGGAGGACCCAAGTATGCGAGAAGTGTTGCCATCTTATCAAAAGGTCGTCTTCCAACAGCTTTGTGATCCCTAGGTATAGCAAACTAGTTAAACAGAAGTAGCACTTCACATTTTAGCAGTACATGTTTCTTTAGACTGTCTCTGGTTGCTTTTCTTCCTACTGTCAGCTAGTGGTTCCTGCTGATTCCTAAATAAGATCAGAAAGACCTCAGGGGTACACTGAGACATCTTAGAAATATGACTACTATCCAGACTATGAAATTTACATAAAAATTCATTTTTTTCTAGTATTCTTAGTGTATTGCCATTAAATGGGCAACTAATAAGTAAAAATGATATTTGATGCCCTTTTTCTCAGAATGAACTCTTTGAAAAAACACTTTTGAAGAACTGAACATATTTGTCCCTGATATCAGATGTCTGCTTAATCAGGGTAAGTATGGATTTTCAGTAACTACTCAACATTTCAAACTATATAACAAGATAATATTTTGAAAGATCAAGTTGGCAAAAATTATGAAGTTTGTTAATGCCAACTGTGGTGAGGATGTATATAAAGAGGTACTCTCTCACACAGTGGTCAAAGTTAGCATGTATACTTTGAAAAGCAACTTGACAATAATCTAGCAAAGCTGAAGCTGTAACCCAGAACGCAGCAATTACACATTTAGGAAATGCACAAGGAGACAAATATGAAGAATATTTATTACATCACTATTTAAAATACTGAAAAACAAACCTAAATTTAGGAAATAAGCCTAAATAGCCATCAATTAGGAAATACAAAAACAGTGATATACTCATTAAATGAAATATTAATATAAGTTAAATAAATGATAAATCTCAAATAGAATATTGTGCGAAGAGACTACATCAGTATGTTAATTCTGTAAAATTTTAAAAAGTGCAAAACTGAGTTTAAGTACCTAATATTTCCTTATTTTGTCAGTTACATAGAGAGAGGTAGTATCATTTTTCCCCAAGAAATAAAACGTTATAGAGATCTGAAGTAGCGTAACAAAGTAAATAATGTTAAAACTAGGTAGTAAACAAGGGTCTCTGTTACATTATGTCCTATACTTTTTGTATGTTTAGAATGTGTATATTTTTTCAAAAACCAAATAGAAAAAAAAGTCTCTAGCATTTATAAATGAATGTGTATATGAATTATATAAGAAAATGAATATTTACATTTAAAAGTTCCACAGTTTATTTTAGTGTCAGATAAAGCATCTTCATCTTTCTATTTTAGGGCATCAGTCATGCCCATGACTACTTTAATCCACTAACAAATTCATAAAGGATTAAAATGCTCTCTTTTAAATTCCCATCTAATTAGATAGCTTTAGCTTCAAGATCTTATACCTTTCCCATGAATGGGCAAACCATAGTTATTGGCATTTAGAAATAATCTGGTCTAATTTTACCTTCTTAAGAGAATTCCTCATACATAGGAATTTGGGCCCTTTATAGACATACATAGCTAGAAAGGACAGCAAGTGATTCAGGTTATAAGGGACTTTAAAAAACAGCTAATAAACAATTCTTAAATTAAGAATTTTCAATTAAGTATTTTCTATATAAAACTTTATTTGCATATATTTAGTGTACCACAAATGGGGTTAGTACAGAATTAATACTGGCAATGTCTTAGTTATTAAATTCCTGAGAATTAGCTGCTTTCAGATTCAAATGTCAATACTCACTTGATCTCATTTGATAAAATAGTAAATTTAAACCCCTGTGTTTTATTGCACACTGTATTTGACAGTTTGCAAACCAGGTGGTCATTTAACATGACTTAACCTTTTGCCTATATATCTTTAAAAAGAATCTGCATTTCTCCTTCTAAACCATAACTGTTATTCTAAGAAGATACAAGGCAAAAAGCATTATTCATGACCAATAACTTTATTAATTTAAATTTAAACTGAGAGTTTTCAATATACCCACGACTAAGAAATCTTACCTGTTGCTGGAAAGATACTGGCCAATTTTCTCTTGATTGTTCCAGAGTAGACGATGTAAAGCAAGCACATTGCCATCACTGATGAAGGAAAGACTATGATTTACTGCATCACTTGTAGGACAGTCAGACGCAATATCAAGAAAAAACCTTAAAAAATGCAACATCGTTAGAATTTTAAAAACGAGATACACTCATCTATGCTTGAATTAAATGTGTATGAAGTAACTTTGTGAAATAACTAAGATTACAAACATGGAGGGCTTATTCATACATGTGACTATCATTAAACAAAACAAGAAGAGACAAGGAGGAAGTTGGTTTCCATTTATGGGTTCAGTTTCAGAGTAAGCTCTGATGTCAGACAACAAAATTTAGAAGGATGAGACTTAGGAGAGAAACCAGTACTTTACAAATAAAAAAAACAAAGGCCCAGACAAGACAAAAGACCTCCCTAAAGTTATGTAGCCTGTTAAATCAGAGTCAGGATCAGACCCCTTGTTCTCTTAACTAGTCAATCTGCGAGATTATGAATCCTATACTGACATTCACTTCCTCTCCAATATGGAGAGCAGTCCAACAATACACCTTTTAAACTCCAATTAGAAAAAAGTTAGTTAATATGAACTATAATGAAAAACCGAAAGAGAGAGTTGTATAATCTAGCTTAGACTATGAGTCAGATCAATTAGATTCATATCGCATGAAAAGTAGAATTCTGGATATAACTTAGATTTACACAGCACTTTCTCATAAGTTATTTCATTTGTTTCTATAAAATCAACTTGGACAAACATATTATCCCTAGTTTGAAGATAAACCAACAACTCAAGAGAGATAAGGAGAAGCAACTAGTTAGTTATGGAAACCTAACAGAACTCAAGTTTTCTAAAACCGTAAAACTTCAATAGCTGTCTAGTTACCACAACAAAATCTTAAGAATCTGCATTCCTTGGTTTAAAGAGTAACCTTTTAGCTCAGATACACTTCCACATTAAAATATCAACAAAGTAAATTCTAACTTAAAAAACTCATATTTATAAACTTATGCAATGTGACCTTAGTTATTACTAAAAGGAATCTCTTCCTTTCTCTCCTCCATGGTGCAGCAACCTTAAATCCTTTATTTTAGTAGACATGTCAAAAAAATTCCTCCTGATTTTCAAAGATGGAGATCATTATCAAATTATAAAGAATAAGGATTTACTTCATCACTATCTTTCATAGTAAAATAAAATAAGATTAACTATGTTTTTGACCTAGAGAGGGAAGAGAAAAAAACCTACACAGGTTTTGAGCTTCATTTAGACCAAGTACATAAACTTAAGTGAAACTAAAAAATAACTGGAAAAATAGAGCCATCAACTAAGGGACAGGCTGCTTACCTCCGTGCTGCATCAAAGTTGCTTTTCACAAAATCATTAAAAGGCCGCATATGCTCTTCTTTTGTGAAGAGAACATGATTGGCAATACTCTGAAGTATCTGAACAATAAAACAGAGTTATAAAGAATCAGATTATTTATTGAATGAACTCTACACACTTGTATATTCTTTGAAAAATATTTTATCAATATAATTTCTACTGGGGTTAAAATCAATTGTTTCTCATTCTATAAATACCAAGTGCTATTTCTATTCTTTCCCAAGTATAAATGTAATTACTATACATGCACACACATATTTACATAGACAAAAATACATATTAAAAATTTTTTATGACTTTTTAAAAATAAAAAACCACACAGTATACATTTTGGTCTCCATTTTAAAGTTTTCAGAATGATTACATAGAAAACTAGTTTCAGAAGACATTAGCTAAAATATTTTCATGTGATAAGCCCCATCAGGTATCAGTGTAATTTAGTTCTTTATAATACACAAACAAAAATTTAACAAAAGCATAAAGTGAAGACCATAGGATATTTCAAGAACAAATTCAAGAGTAATTACAGTGAATATAAAAAACTAAAAATTTAGTTGGAAGAGAAATTCAAAAAAGATTATTAAAACAGTTCTTCACCTTTGACATTAACTTCAAGCCCCTTTCGATTCTAGGTGGTGGCTTTTTATCTAAAATCCCTGCTTCATATGGAGACACAATGGCAGGATTGATAAATCTGAGGAACATGGCACTTCCTACTGCACCGATGCTGTTCTGAGGAAAACGCTGGCTAACCACCTAAAAACAAGGAGTTGAGAATTGAATACATGGTTTGAATTAAATCAAGGAAAAGGGAAAGAAGAGCTGGAAGGTCAGACTGCATAAAAACTCCTGAATAGACCAATCCTCCTAAGTAACACATTTCTATTTTTTCCAGCTCCCAAAACACATCAGTAAATAAAGTTTATCCTCAATTCTTGCTTTCCATCATTTTAACTCAATAAAGGTATCTAAGAAAAAAGAAAAAACCCTCATGATTGGTCAGGGAGAAGAGACCTGAAAAAAGATCTTAATTTTATTACCAATGTTTATACTACAGGTTTCATGAGGAACAAAAGCAGACTAAATTTTTATGCAAAGATTATCTTACTAAGATTAATAGGAGATGTGTTCAACCATTATGAGATAAAGCTAAGTTTTCAACAGCACACTCCTGCACTATCAATACCTACTAATAATAGTAAATACTTACATTTTGTTGTGTGCCAGTTACAATTAAATTTCTTGAGCAAAATGCTTGCCATATATCAAATAAAATTTAGTTTTCTTAGATTCCTATTGAGAGAAAAAATTTACTTACAAGTAACATTATTACCAGTTCCTTTTCTGCATCACAATGCTTTGCAATATAAGGACCTACCTATTATTTAAACCATGGAGGAACAGGAATTCTTGGGGACCTAAAAGAAAAAGGGATGCTACCAGCAGAACAGAACCCCTGTGTATACCTCAATTGATAATTCTGTCAAATAAAAAAAGTGAAGGATTCAAGAAATGGTTGCTCACATGGAAAAACAATGCGAGGACAATGTTTAAAATGGATTCTCTTTCTCTCTTTATAAAATATTCTGCTTTAAAGGTAAAATAATCGGTAAATTGCATGAGGATAAGTGTTATGAAACTCACTCGGCTCCATCTCTTTCCAGTGCCTGTTTTAATATATGAAAATTATATTATTCTGAAACTTATGTTTTTTTACAGGTAATGCACAGATTTATTTTTGAAGAGCACTTAGGTAACAGTTTGATCTCTACAACTTGTTTTGCTTGGTCTAGCTAACTGCTGCTGGAAGCAGGAAGACACTAATAGCAAAGCGGCTGCACTCCATTCAACTGGGACTCCAGGGATAGGCCTGCACTTTAAGGGATAGTGGGGAAAATGAGAAAATGGGATTCATGCACACACTCTCGTTAACTCTGGCTTTCTTCACAAGGCCTCAATAAAGTAACACAGCTTGGCATGAATTCACATGGCTCACTGACTCCAGGTTAACTGTGGAAAGGATACAGACTTTTTCCTTTCATTCTATTCCCTTTAGTGCTTCATGTACACATTCTAAATGTGTCCTTGTTCACTTCTTAAGATCTCAAAATAATTTTCTATCCTACCCGAGAATTAATAAAAATAGGACTTGAGAGGATGATTTTTTAAGCTGAAGAAAATCTTTTTATGGGGTGGTAACAGAAGTGAGTTCTAGCTCATTTGTATCTCTACCTTCATCTTACACTGTGTGCTAAGGAAGGTTTCTTTGTGTTAGGGTCCTTGGAAAGCTATCATATAAACGACAACATTACACATTAAATAGGGGAAACTGGTGAAGGCGGCTAAAGGTAGCAGCCTTAGTAGAATGGTTTTAAAACATAAATATACTTTTTAAGTACACTACCGACCCAATCTAAAGGTTTTCTTTACGTTTCTCTTTACAATTATTTTCAGCTGAAATACAGTTTTAGAAATAGAATTATGGAAGTTCAAGTGCTTTTACTACTCTAGCACAGTGTTTAGCCTTTTATGGGGTAGGAACAGAAAAATGAACATACACATGCATACAGACAAAAAAATTATCCATACAATCTCAGAATGTTTATAAACCACCACTGCTACATAGTGGTTCTGTAGAACTCCCAAGTTTTAATCTTAAAACAGGAGAAACATCAACAAAACCATAAAATTTTAAAGCCTTCAGCTTAAGCAAGCAAGAAGGAAGAGATTAAAAATTGCTTTATATTTAATTTCAAATAGGTTGTTTTAAAAGAATTAGTATTCAGTTTAATCCATTAAAATCCTGAAATGGCTTTAAAAAAGGTAAAAGCCATAGTTTGGTTTCCAAAGAACCAGTTAGTCTATAAAATATTAACCAGCTATGAAAGTATCTCATAAAAATCAGTAATTTATATACACATTTTTGAAGGCAGCTATTTACTATTTTTCTCTAGGACAAAAAAGTTTTAAAGTTTGAATCACATTTATACTTAATATATGCTGAATACTACTCAATCTCACAATTTAATGAAAATCTGAGTGAATTATTCCCTAAAGGGAGAATATTATAAAAGTTTTCTACATCTTCAAAAATAATTCATGTCAAAACTCAAAAGTATTCACATCTCAGGAACATACATTGTTTCCTCTATCATATATATGTATCTCACTGATGACAGTGTCACTGTATTTTTGTAACTAAAATCTGATAAAATGTAATCAGTATCATTGAAAGATGCTGTATAACAAGTTTTAGGAGACAACTTATAAAAACACTTTTTTCTTCACTAATTAACATCAATGTAATTTTACCTCATAATATACACATACTCCAATATTTTGTTCTGTTCTGACTGAATTTATAAAAATCTAATTTGGATCCAAAAATTATTCTGCGTAAGAGGTCAAAGTTGGGTCAGTCTGTAGGGTGAAACCAGTTATCAGTCAAATGCTCCTTTTACTGCCATTAGTGAAAGTTGAACTACACGTTACAAATAAGTGCATTCATTAAACTATACATCAGCAAGAGGATCTCTGCTCATACATGCTTAATTACCCGAGTTAGGTAGACAATTAACTTATTAACTTCTCAAAGGAGATCTAAATTATACATTACATTTTTGAGTATAATAAACACAATTATCTGTAATATGACTACGCAGCTATATACGAGAAGCCAGAACCTTCTCTACGTATTTTACATATTCCAATCCATGATACATACACCCTAAAGGAAAAAGTTAGCTTGCTTTAAAAAGAAAAGATCATTTGATTCCTTTAAACCTACAACTCCATAACCAACATTTTATGTTTATAATGACTATACTGTCTTCATACTTTGCAATGTGTTCTAAAATATCTCAAATTACGCATCAGATTCCCTCTGTTTCCATGAGGGCCTCATATCATCTGTGCTGAGAAATACATTCCAAAACTTAGTGTTACCAGAAACTTAAAAGAAAATAACACTAGTAGGGAAAAACATTTCAAGGAACAATTTTAGACAAAATCTTAAATAAAGCAATGTTAGGAAGGCTGGAAAACATGCTCTAGGAAAACACAAAGCCTGAATTGTATATTATGTGATAAACTACACAATGGCATTAGTATAGCATTGAACAAAGTGTTAGAAACAGTAAATTAATTTCAGCAGTGATGGTGTGTATTATGTTAAACCCACATATGCTGAGAATTAGAAAGCTGAAGCATTAAAAGGAAATTATTTATTAAGCAAGATGGCCATCCAATCTCATCTGCTCTGCTCACAGCTGACCAAATTTACTTAATATACTCAAAAAGAAAATCTTGAATGGACACAAAATTTTAATTTAGTTCTGAATTTAAAACAGATTTATTATATGTAAAGCTTAGGCAAGGAATGAAAGATGAAACCAGATGAATACTATATTTGAAAATACACCTTGTTACACTACCTACATTATCTAAAGCTTTTCTTTATATCTTTCTCTAAACTTATTTGTATTACATGAATGACAGTTCTCAGCCTAATAGGGGTAAGTCATACTGACAGATAATGGAAAATTTTAAATGAATGTATGCTATATTTGGGAGAAATTCCACTCGCGGGAAGAAAATAATTATGGGTACCATAATTTTCTTCCTTTTAAATTAAGGCAAATTCATGAAGCAGGCAGTATATATACCATGTTTGCAAAATGAGGTGTTTCTCTACAAATATGGACTCAATTAATTTTCCTTTTTTTCAAAAGTACTATGTTACCAGTCCCACTAGTTTAATAATGATTTTCTCAAAAGAAAAAGTGGTTTATCATTAGGGTTTTTATAATCTAAGCACAAATTTTGGCTGAGACTACCTAGATAAAAATATAAGGAGTAAAAAATAAAACTTAGCAACTTTCAGGTAAGATTTAGAAAGTGACACTTTTCCTCCCTCCAAACACTTCTCTAATAATTAAAGTAAACTTTCACCTCTAGGAAAAGAAACCACTCACATTACCTGCAAACAAGAAGCAAGAATGAGGAGAGTCAGCATTTCCTAAGGCCTTGAAATTAAGTTTCTTTTGCATTCATTTATAATTTTAAAAATAACAGTAAGATTAGGCCACGAAAATCCAATGCAACAAATGCCTCCAAAATGCCTTTGGGAGAAATCAAACCAAAGGAACACAGAGAATGTTTCAATGTAACTTAATTCCAGGGTTAATTGAAATGAAAGCTATTTTGTGCCAGAATTAGTAGAATGATTTTACAGTGAAGGTCAAATAGGCTGAAGTGAAGATGTTCTTAACAAACAGCAAAAGATTTTTGTTTTGCTTTGAAAGAAACAGCTAATAAAAAGTTCTCCAAACTTACTGATTTTTTGTTTTCCTTTTTTTCTTTTACTGTAGCTTTATTCAGTAGGGAGTGGCAAGTTGCCTACAGAACAGAGATGAGCACAAACAAGTCACAGCACCAACTACATACAGCAACAAAAACAATGTTGGCTTGTACATAAAATTACATGATCAAATGTAACATAAATAGAATCAACAAAAAAATTAGGATCAACTGAATTTTGAGGGATAAATTTTATTTCTGGAATTTATTTATTTTTTTTACATTTTAAGGCAAAGCCCTAAATTAACAGCAAATGTCGAGACAATCATATCTACTATTTCTGGCTATAAATCACAGAAAAGTTCTCCCCATTTGAATTTGAGGATATTTAATATTTACATTGCAGTTAATTCTTAACTTTTGGTAAAATTTTATA